TTAGCAAACTAGATGCAAAACTGAATTCAAATTTAGGGAAGTTAGGGAGGAGCGAGCCCATCTATTCTTTCAATCAACAGCCAGAGTATATAAGCAGCTGCTTACTTCTCTCCAGTCTCGGCTGTTCCAGCATCCCTCCACCTCCCCAATCTCCACCTTCATCTTAGGTACCTTGCCCTTTGGAATCATATCCTACATTAAGTCTCTGTGGGGGTATATCAGAGCTCAAGTTGAAGCTGCTAAATCGAGCCCCTCATCAGTGGACAGCAAGCCAAATAAGTTAATAAGTTAATTCTAAAGATTATATGGGCAAACGAACTTGTTAACTTTGACTAATATTTCAACTAGAATACCAAAACCTCTTACATAGTTGTATTAGTAGTTTTAAAAATCTAAATTGAAAGACTTTACAAATATATAGATTTGAAATGCCACCTATAGAAATTGGTATTCAGTTTATATATTGCTTCATATTTTATAATTACCTTTTGTGGACCAGGATGGATTTTCCAGAAGATGTTTCCCATGTTGGATTTCTGAGATAAAATTCTGTCATTCCAATTCAACTTCAAATTCCAATTCAAATCACACTCATGAATTCAGTGTGAATTGAAATTCTACAGTTTAGAATTTTGCACAACCCTGGTACATAAGAAAGGTTTTTGTTAATTATTGATTGATGTAATTCTAATTTTTTTCATGAAATCTAGTTACACAATTCCACAAACTACAAATATAACATCAAGATCCAATTCAAAGTCCTGATCAGATGGCAGGGGACACTCATCCCTTCACTCTGACTCGTTTTGGTCAAAAACCATCTCCTGCTGAGAAAGACATCAGATTGACCCTCCAGTACAGCATGCAAACAACCTTAACCCCTTCATTAGCATTATGCTAACAGCAGGCACACATGCCGGCAGCAGCTTTCACAGGAGGGAGTGTGCAGCAAGAAAACATCTCAAAGTCATCTGTCTTCATGTTCTCATGCCACCGTGTACAGATGTGCTTTCACTCAACCTCAAGAAAGCAGTGACGGCTCCATTTTACAGCGCCACATCCCACAGGGGCTCTTTGAGCTCAGAACAACCTACTGTAGTGCAAAATGAATCAGGCCTATTGTAGAGGGAAAGGTAATGAGACATTTAATGTAGAGAAGGAGAGCACTACTTCATCAAACTATATGTTGTGCTGTTTACGGTCATAACTTTCATTGACATTACATACTCATTGCCAGGTTATAACGGTGCAGAACTAAATCAATCTTGTGCTATATTGTTCAGCCTCATTTGTTTTTGAAATATCATAACTTATATTTACATTTATGTTCTCGGCAGATGCCAAAAGATGACCAATGTACCAATTTTCCTCAACTTGTAGATGACAACAAACACACTACTGCGACAAAGCTGTGACGTGCCAATATGAACACGAAGGATAACCTGTAAAAATTTATTTTCAAAGAAATCATGTCTAGAAATGTAAATCTCCATTACCTTCCATCTTTGATTCTCTAGATGGACTTTTTACTGGAAATCAATATAGCTTTACAAGAACACTTTATAAAACTATCTTCCGAAAACACTGGCTTAAACCAGTTTAAGGTTTTAGGCTGGTTAGGCTGGTCTGTTTTCATGGTTTTTGAAGGGGATTGGGTGCACTTTTCAGCTAGTCGACCAGCTAAACCAGCTTAAACCTGCTAAGACCGGCAAACCACCCTAAGATAATTTCATCACAGGTGAGCAAAATATTTTCAGTAATTGTGTTGAACTTTCCACAAGAGTTTAACCATCATACGGATTATCCATATGAGCAATTAAGCAATTGCCCAGGGGGACCACGTATGGGGGGAACCACACAAATATCTTCTCTGGTAAGACAAATGTCTTTCTAGCCATGGTCTGATATCAGTGAACATGCAAACTATCAATTTGGAATATTTAGTAAATATGGTTAGTTTCATGGTTAGATATATTGTGTTCACATTTACATCTTATCTTGAAATAAATGGTTATTATAGCTTTAACAGTTCATATATTTGTTATATTTTGCAGCATGCACATTCAGCTCTTAGAACAGATATACAAGTTATACAATTTATCCAGAGTACACAGTAAAAAATTAGAACTTGAATTTGTCAAATGTTTTCCTACTTGACGTGAACACTCTAGATGTCAGTCTCCAGGGGCACCAAAGAGTGCCGATGCTGTCGACTGGAGTGAAAATTCAGCTTTGCCGTCACAGAAATTAATTACATTTTAAAATCTGTTATAATATAAAAAGGTTATTTTTTTCAATTATTTTCAACTGTAATTATATTTCATTCATAATTCTACTGATTAACTTTTTTTACAATTTAAATCAATTGAATAAACTTTCAAATGCATTAAGCAATCTTACATACCACAAACTTTTGAAGTGTAGTGAATTTTTGTTACCATTTACTTATATTTTCACCTGTTTTCTGCATACAGACTGATAACACAAAATCTTTTTAATAAGATCTTAAAATAAGATTTAGTTTGCTCTCAGCTAGCAAGATAGATTTAAAATACAAAGTCAACATGACATCTAAATCTATCTATTTATTGCTGGTCTTGTGCCCAATTTATTGGAAAATATTTGTGTTCTTCTTTTCTCAAAATCAGGACTAAGAAACAGTTTGGGCAATAAAAATAACCGTTTTCATTTATTTAATTATTAGTAATGTGGTACAGCTGGTCATCTGATCAACATTATACAAACCTTGATAAACAGACTGCAATTTTCTGACCCAAAGACCCATAAAGACTGAGAGGAGTGTGTCCCTAAATACAAGTGGATGTCCACTGCTCAACTGTCTTTGTTCTATAGTTGCCCCAGAGCTTAAAACACAAAATACACAGCTATCAGTACTTCCTTTTTATTTGAAAATGTTGACATCCTAAAGAGTATCACTCAACCTTTTGATTCTGTAGAAAGCAACTGTATCTTGCTCCAGACATTAAAGATTTGATTGTTCACTGAGTCTTAGACTTATTTTCCATCCATTGTGGTTCTATTGAAACATTCTGACAGTACAACATATATCTGTGCTTCAGGATTATATTTTTTAGACTGAGCTAAAAAATGTAGAGAGTGAAGATGCTAAACTGAATTTTTCTTGATTTGAAAATACATTTTTAAAATGTTATAACAATACTTTTACACAAGAAATAACCCACTGTAAAACATATGTTGTAATAGAAGAACAATGTATAAAGTGTACAGTACAGTATGTCTTTCAATGAAGGTTCTTGAGAAGAGCAGCACTAATTTTATTAGAAAACATTTGTATTGTATGAAAACCAGGAGCCAAGAGCATAATATCCCACATATAAACACTGCCATTAAAATTAATCACTCTTACAGACACTCACAACCAATCAGCCTTCAACCATTATGACAACATGGAATTTAGAATTCCTGGCCGCACAGATTCACACAGAGTCAGTTAAGAAGTACAAGGACACAAGGACTTCAGGTAACTGTGTCTACAACAGACACGAGCACCACTACAAAAGACAGTGGTTATAAACAGTGATTCTGTCTATAATGATTGTGGCATGATGCAAGTAACAAATCTCCAACAGTAAACTGATGCCTTGGTTTATTTAAAACATACAGACACAAAGGACAAATGATTTACAACATTCCCTTTGTCACATCCAGTGCTACAGCCTCCAGATGTTGCAGCTCGATGTGACGCAAGCAACAACAGTCGTGTAAGTGGAAAATGTGAAATCCCTTCTTTACAATATCCAGTCAAGATTTCTGCAGGCATGTCATTATCTTCATAAAGAAGAGACCACAACAGCTGACAGAAGAGTCACCAACAAGTAAGATTTTTAATTAATCTTAAATCAAGAATTTTTTCTTGATTTTTTCTCAAATTTTAAATCAAGTCATGGCATTATCTCCAGAAAAAAAGAGATCACAAGAGATGACAGAAGACTCGCCAACCAGTAAGATTTTAAATGAAAGCAAAACAACAACAACGACAAAACACTTGAGTTAGTTAAAGCTGAGATATAATTATAAGCAGGGCCGTCGCTAGGAATTCTGGGCCATTTACTGGGCCGCGATCGCAAAATCACGTTCATTGGTGGGGGTGGGGATCGGACCCTTGCCATGGGCCCCTGTTACTCAGTTCCACTATTAGCCCCTGTCCGGCACCCCTGGTTATAAGTATGGTTGTAAGTATAGTTGTCAGAAAAAGTTGTTATTTTCAAAGTGAATCCTTACATTTGTAATGACATTTACACTAACACACACACACACAAACACACCAGTGTGTGAAACTGTTACAGTCTGCAACCAGGAAACCTGTAACTTATGGAAGCAGGGAAGCCCTGGCACAGCACTCTGGGTGGGGCAACTAGCTGGACCAAGAGTGCACTCTGCGAATTGCACACCTTGGACACGTGGAAAATTAGGGGCGAAGCTGCCAGTTCACCTCAGGGAAACACTTGGAGTTAGGGGCTAGGGTTAGCAAGCATTATTCATTTCATTTTCATTTTATTATAGATTTACTTTAATTGTGCAGGGGCATTTTTCCCCCCAAACAGTTGTTATGGAGGGTGAGCACCCACCCGTGGAAACATAAATCGGCGCGTACACATTTGTGACCCTGGACCACAAAACCAGTCTTAAGTCGCTTTTGGGTATATTTGTAGCAATAGCCAAAAATACATTGTATGGGTCGATTTTTCTTTTATGCCAAAAATCATTAGGACATTAAGTAAAGATCATGTTCCATAAAGATATTTTGTAAATTTCCTACTGTACATATGTCAAAACTTACCTTTGAGATAGTGTATAAATCTCAAAAATGACCCTTATGACTGGTTTTGTGGTCCAGGGTCACATTTATCAAGAGGCCACTTCACACTTCACTTTAATGAGTTGATGAGTGTGTAAAGCGGTAGGCTACATACTTAGTGCTACAGCCGCGCCAATGACAGACAGCGACATACCTCCCCTTTAAGCGACTGCCCCTTTAACTTCACCTGAACACACCTGAACTTCCTTCCATTACGGAAGTTTCACTGCAGTAGAGGAAAAACAATCCAGAAAACAACAACAACAACAACATCCTGTGCTGAAATATGGGTGAGTTAGTACTTTGGAAAGTTTTATTCTTTTACTTGAGGTGTTACATGTTCTTCAACCTGTGTCGCGCAGAGAGTTTTAGCTTTTTGACATATCAAATGACTTTCGGCCTAGAATCTCCTTCTCATTATTAAAGGCCCGTTGAATACAATAAAGATCAAATGTGTCTTGTAGACAATAACAGCTTGAGAATAAGTGCTGTCGTTCTTCTGAGCTTGCTCTTATGTGATTATCTGTCCAAGTTGTTTTGCGGCCTCGTTCGCTTTCAGTTATTCGTCTGCGAGCTAAATGACATCAGTTATGGCTAAATGTCTTAGTTTCGTGCTAAATAGATATTCACATGATTGATAGATTGGGGAATTCAACTTCCTTTTACACTTTTGACAGCTAGTATGTATAGTCAGTTCTTTTTATATTGTTTAACAAACTGTTTTTCATGACAACTATCATGCAGTTGTTTTATATAAGTCATAGTTACTTTAGTTTGACTATGTTAATGATTTATGATTTAAATTAGCTTAAACTTGTATTTAACTACTCATTTGCAGGTTGACCCACTACCATGTTCCAAAAACCACCATAAGCTTGTATGACCAGTTACTCAGTCCAAGATAGTCTACAAGCACCAACTAGAAACCAGCTACCATTGTAAACTGGATTTTCTGTCAGGTTTATCTGTGGTTTCTGTGATCCTGACTAAAATAGCACCATTTTACTAATTATTAACATTTCAGAGTGATACTAGATTGTTTTTATTTGTTTGTTTAATATTAGGGAATATGATCATGTATGATAATATGATAAACTTGTGGTTCAGACAGTATTCTGAAGTTAGAGTCTCAATTAGGGTAAGCTCTTGCTCTGCTATCTGCCATCTGCTTATAACTTATTCTCCTTCTAATTTATTACTTATTGGTTCCAGTAGGAGATGTCCATTCACAAAATGTAAACCTCTTACAAAATTACTCAGACAGACTGTTGCCAGCTTCTCCAATTGTTTCACTGCCAGAATTTCTGTTTTCATTTTCCCGGGACAATGGACACGGGCCCTCCTGGACCAGCAGCGGTGCTCCAAACGCCTGAATGGGTAGCGGAGGTGGACAAAGTAATGAAGGATGTAAACAGCACTGAGGAGGAAGAAGAGGAAATGATCAAATCTGCAAGTATGGAAACCAGTACCCTACAGTGGCCTGAGAAAAAACCTGAACCACAGATTCTGCCAGTCAAGGATGAAGAGAGCACAAGCGTGAAATCAGATTGCATCTCACTCCGATGTGGAGTGAGCCGGACGGAGAGCGAGAGGGAGGAATTTGGGCTGAAGGAGATGGAAGCAGGGAAAGAGAGTGTTTCTGACACTGAGCTGAGAAACAGAGTGAAAAGCACCTGCTCAGAGATAGAGGTGGAGGAGGTGAACATAATGCCAGAGAACGCAGCCCGAGTCTTCAGCCCCAGCATCACCATCCTGCGCTCCACCAGCGAGCAGGAGGCTGCAGACGACTGGAGAGAAGAAGAGAGAAGTCCCTTCATGGGGACACATGGAACACCGCTAGAACACTATTACCAAGACTGGCCCGTCACAACCAAATCACGCTGCTGTAAGTTCAGATTAAATCATTACGTGTTTCGTAACTTTTAATACACAATATATTGGTACAGTATTATCAACTGATATTAGAGATTAGAGAATTTATTGGTATAGGTTGATATACTGTACATTCCTGCAGCTCAAACAGCAGAGCATGGCTCTACCAACACCAAGATCATGGTATCAAGTACCAGGAAATGCTGATAAATGTATACCTTGAATGGAATGTAAGCCGCTTTCGATAAAAGTGTCTGTGAAAGTAAAAATAATATCTTCCGCTCACTTAATCTTTAAAAAAACATTAATTTAATAACACTGTTGAATGTAATATTTAGCAAATCTCAAAATGAATATAAATTTTCATACTGTATATTATAATAGTGTTGTTATAGCTAAATTCACTTTTATAATTCAGCCTTTTTTTTTAAATAATTGATTTTTGTTTTGTTTTTAATGCATTTACACACAATAGTATAGAATTTTAATATCTGTGCATCCCTGACATTTAATCATTTTATGTAAAATCTCACAAACCAAATTGAAACATAATTTTAAATCAGTTATTATAGTTATTTAAATAAGACCTTTTGCAAACTTGTGTGCAATGTATTTTTCCTTCAGGTTTGCAAATTGCATATTCAAAAATGAACAAATCAGATTTCCACAAAAATATTAAGCAGCACAACTGTTTTCTACAATGGTAATAACAAATGTTTCTTGAGCATAAGATCATACAAACCGCAAACTTTTAAATGGTAGTGTACTTTTACAAAAGCATGAAAAGTCTGTCTCTTTCTCTTTCTCAGGTAGCATTGGTGGATCTTATCGTGATGCTCTTAAACTGGGTGCGTCTATGCTCACTTCTGCCCTGATCTTCCCCTTATTGGTATGGGGTGGCTACGTCTTCCTGCCCTTTGATGCCCCTCTACTTGACAGCGCCCCCCTACGGCTGGTCTACATGCTGCGCTGCTCTGTTTTTGCAGTCATACCTATTGTCCTTGGTAAGCAGTACCCAGATGAATATGGGTCTGTTTTGACTCTATTGAGATGACTCGACATTGATAAATACAGTTTAACTTTGTATTCATTCAGTGCTGAATCATTAAATCAAAAGGAGCTGTTTGGAAACGGTTGTTCTGTGCTTTCTTTCCACTCTTAGGTATGTTGGTACTAGGTGTGTCCCGTCTGAGGTATCGCTCCTTGAAGCCGCGGTTTGAAGGGGAGAGGGAAGTTCAGCAGGTGGCAGTTCACCAGCGCTATGTGGAGGACTCCGTCTCCCTCTTTCTCCTTTACTTCCTCCAACTGGCTGTCATGGCTGCCTACCTGAATCAGGATCTGCTTAAACTAATTCCTCTTCTCACCATCGTTTTTGCCTTTGGCAGGTACAAACTCCCTCTCATGTCACAATTCAGTTCGATAAACAACACAAAAATAGAGTTAAAATGTTAGGTCTACTTACATTTTGTTAACTGAACTAAAATATAAAAAAACTTGATTTTAGCTAGTTGCCAAGGCAACATTTCTCATTCTCATTTAGTTGAACCTGAAATAGCAAAATAACTAAAAACTAAAATGGAAATAAAAATTATTAAACTATATAGACACATAACAACAACTTTGAGCTTCCAGGTTTACCGTATTTAATGTGCTCTTTGTATGTGCATTGACCAATGATTATATCTGGATAAAAACCTGAATTAAATATGTCTGAACTTTCATTTTTTGGGTGAACTAGACACAATGCATATTGTCGCTATCCACAATACGTATTGTAGCATTTTTGTATTGCCATATATTGTGGCACGATATGATTAATTCACTTATTTTTCATGTTTCCTTTTGTTTTGTTTTATGTTGTTTTTGTTTGTGTTTTTCTTTTTTTATTTTCTGAAATAATACACTTTGTTTATTTATAGGTTTAAATTAGATTTTGAATCCCAGATATTCAATGTGTACTAACAATACTTTTTTTTTAATGACTTTTTATTGTGTATTTTTGATCTGTGTCTTGGTGCATCACAGACTACTGTACTGGGTCGCAGCAGCTTGTGACAGCAGTTTGAGAGGTGTTGGCTTTGGGTTCTCGTTTCTGCCAATGCTGGTTATGCTGGTGGCCAACCTCTACTTCATCTTCCTCTCTGAATCCGCAGGCTCCATCTTTGCCCCAGACATCCCAGAACCACCTGTTCCTCCAACCAAACAGCGGTTCTGGGGCTAGACATGCCACATCTGACACCTCTGCTACTGCCAAATGTAGACCAGATCTCTTTAGGCTTAGAGCCAGCTTAAATTGGACTATGAGACATTTGTTTTGTATCTGAGAACGTTTAATCCAACTGTGATTTCTTTTTCCTCTCCTGTTCTTTGCTTTTCTGAGTACTTTTATATCATGACCAGGTGGGTTGAAATTGCCAGAACTCCTGTCAAAGGAAAGAGAAGAGGTGTAGAACAAAGGGAGGAATGTGTTTTTTTTCTCCTTGAACTAACTTATAAATAGAATTTGTGTAGTGAAACGTTAGACACTAAACTACAAATTAAAATGAACTACCCTTTATTGCTGCTGAACAAGATTCGTCATCACTCAAAAGAGCTCCAAATAGACTGGTTTCAACTCAACTATTTTAAGATGAGACTGTCAACAAGAAGAAAACAAATTTCCAATTATTTATTCCAAGTATCTATTTTTTCTTATTTGGTTAGGCATCGTTTGCTTATTCAAGTCTACATTGCGTGGTGTGTGTGAAGTTAGTGCCCTGCCCAAACTTGTAATTTTCCACAACCACTCCTTCATCTCTTTGGTAATTTACGGGCAATGTGATGTTTACTGTGTGCAAAGTGTAGACATATTTTGAACAGATTTGTAAAAAGATATGACTTCAGTAATCAATTAGAAGATCTTGTAAATGAAATACTAATCAAATCTGCAAAGAGATATAAGAAAACTGTAGCCTAGTGCAACTGAATGTATTAAGCTGGAATTAATTCCTGTTCGTTATATTTTCATAAACATTTTTAACAAATCCAATATTTCTGTCAATAACTGTTTTTTTGTACATAAATTGAATGTAAAAACGCAGTTCATCGCATGCGATGGTGGTCGATTCGAACCTGTTCAACAAGTTCCATGTTTGTCGGAGGGCAAAAAATATTTCCTACTACCTGTCATTTGATAGCTCGAATACATGGAAAGTTGACGGCAAACATCCAGCAGTATTAATAATAATACTTTTGTATCATATACTGTGTAAGTCTGACTCTGAGGCAGAATGACATCTCAAAGTCGTAGGAAACACAACGCTTGTCTGTTTCGGGTGAGGGAGAACTGCCCGTTTCGAAAGCTAAGGAGGAACGTGTGCAATGGTAAGACCGATGACATAACTTGATTTATTACCAAATTATTTAATTCATGCAAGCAATTAAACCCCACAAAATTTAAAAACAATAAGCGAGAAATTTTTACATTATGTAGTGTGTCCGTGAAGAGATGAAGTTATGGCTGTATGCGAGACATTTGTCGTGATCTTAAACCCTATTCACACGGGATTAGTATTACCTGGTGACCTCCAGTCATTTGTAATAATGGCGGAGGTTGTCTGTGATCTTAATCCCGTGCGAATCCACCACACGAAATTCAGATGTTGGGGTGTGATTTCAAAATCACACAAGGTCCCCAGATAATACTAATCCCGTGCGAATAGGGCTTAAATCTGCATTTGCCCTCATCAAGTGTTAAAATAAAAAACCTAAACGATCGTTGACCCTTGAGTGTATTAAGTTGTGTTTTACTCAGTTGCTTAGGAGTAATTTTAAATGTTGGTTGTGCCAGCTGCCTGTCAGAAGCTGCAAATCAAGTTATGTAATACCACTTGTTTTATCAACCACATTGCACAGACTCGAGGATCACGCTCGTGTCCACTGGAGGCCAATGGAGAACATTAGAAAGCCCGCCTCAGTCAGGAGCCTCTGGGTCAAACTGCGGGATAAACAGAGCCGTCAGCGTCGAGACCTTCTCGAGACCCCCCCAGTCTGATTCCCACCTGCAAGAAGAATTCTCAGGTCAGCGTCAATCTAACTTTAACTTAGTTGCAACAACTTGCAGTTTACTAGATTTACCTCAGCAAACATTTTAAAAGGTGCCCTTTGTAATAGCCTATTTGTTTTATACTTTTTTTGGTTTATATTTACAAATATTAAAGGGGTCATATGATGCTATTTTAAAGATCATTATTTTGTGTATTTGGTGTAACAGAATATGTTGACATGCTTTAATGTTCAAAAAACACATTATTTTTCAAATACTGTACATTATTGTAGGTCCTATGCCCCGCCTCTCTCAAACGCTCCTTTTCAACAAAGCCCCCTCCTTTGACAAGCATAGTCTGCTCTGATTGGCCAGCTGACCCAGTGCATTGGGATTGGCCGAACACCGCAAGTGTAATGTAACCGGAAATGTAACGCCCCTTACCATAATCGCGAGCTTCATCTTTCAAAATAAATGTAAAGACAGAGCCCGAAAGGGGAACAGAGTCGCGTAACAGACACAGTGATGATGCAGTACACAAGCCGCGGTTAAGACAGCTGACGTGCTATGATTTCTGACAGACAGTTCACTCTCCTGTGATGTGACCCTGTTCCCCACACACACACACACACGACGCGTTACTCTGCGCTGCGCAAAACTCCGCATTTGAACAGTCAATAGCAAATACTTAAACTAATAACAAAACAGTAGCTGATTCAGAAGCGCCAGATTGTCATAGCAAAGTCAGAATGACCTCCTCTCCTAGGTTCACGAAACGGTCATCCATAAAATGCATTGCTGTTCTGTTGTAAGTAATCTTAAAGATTCCTAAATGCATCTACTTTCGGAAGGCCAAATAAAGTGCTTTTGCTTTCGCCTAGAAACACACAGCGTCTCCCTGACATGGCTGCTTCAACACTAACTGCGGTTACTGAAACCACGCCTTCTTTCTTTGCGTGCACATTTGGGCGGCATTACGCAAATATTCCCACATAGTGACCTAGATATGTGGGGGCGTATTAGACCAAGCCCTTGTAAAGACAAATCACAAGG